TGAACAAAGAACATGAAAAAGGGGGAAAACAACCAGCAACGTACCAATGACATTTAAGTAAGATGCTAAGCCGGCTTTTTCCGGAAACCACTATGTACCCCACCTGTACTACTGTAGTAGTGCTAAAGGTCTGGACCACATCACACTAAAAGAACTGTCCTAACATAAGTGCAAATACCCCTTGGTCCCAGGACCCTAGGCCCCCCCCCCCCCCCCCACATGAAAGGCAGTTGCTGGTAGCACGCTCTAAGTCCCCAGCACAGGAAAACCAACTCAACCAGCAGGTCCACCACCACATTAGTAGACTGAATGCCAACACGTTTTCCGGTGAAAAAGCGGGCAGCGAGCCATCGCACCACGCAGATATGTTAGAACATTATTACGGTCTGTGCTCCCGGTTGATGCGCACGTAACTTAAAGAAACCCCACAATTGAGACGACAAAGAAACATACTCCACCAGGACCAGGGTATCCAGGTTGGGCCAGGGTCTTTCCCTGCGACCACCCCCGTCTGCAACCCTCTTTCGGCTGTGAACCAAGGTCAAGTGTTTTTCCATCTGCAAACCAGTCAGAGATACACGTCCTACTTAGACTGACTACATTCAGTATACATGTATTGTGCGGTGAACTTTTAGCGAAAAACCAATGTGAACGTCTCCCCCTGTCGCCGCTACATGCTTATAACCAGTGTGAAAACACACTGTTCATAAAAATATACACGGTATGGTATGTATATTTCAGAAGACGAAGAATGAATCCTGCAATACCTTTAAACTAAACGACCAAAAACAACCCTATCGGCAGCAATGAATTTTGGGCAAGCAACACATAGGTCTTAGCCGCTGGCTCACCTTGCTTTTTTACTTTTAACAATCAAGGTATGTCTCAAGCATAATAGCTATTTCTAGTCCCGAGTAGCTTTTTCAGGAACAAGAGTGCAACACACGAGCAGGTGACTGGCGTTAGAGTTGGTCAGAACAAATCCAAAACCTTATCGCATGCACTGCACAATGAGACCCGGCTGCTCACTCGTACCAGGAAGCCATCTCGACAACGTGCTGCCAGACCATTGCCATGGAGTACCCTCCTTGATGGCCACCCCCCCCCCCCCGGGTCCTGAGTGAGAGCCCGCACTCTGTTGAACCTTCCAATCACGGTCAGGTGAACGTAGCCCTCGTGGGTCATCTGAGGTGCAGGCAATTACAGGGTTAACCCCCCCATACACAACATGCAGTGGGTGAGGGGTTCAAATGGTTCAAACCTGTCGTCGCAGAAAGAAATCCTTCTGAAGATTTTCGTCACTAAAGTAGTATTCTCTGGAGAGAAAAATGAACACAAATTACAGGAAGAGTAAAAATGTTTTTCCCGGAGAAAAAACATACAAAGTGTGATAGAATTTTAAAAAATGTGTCGCTAAAAATATAAGGATTTTGTTAGAGTTTGTTGCTACACACCATCATTAGACACAGATGGCGATTGCTCACATTTGTTTACGGATGCAGTCCTGAAGAGTCCCCTTGTCCATGGGAGGGATGGGGGGACTGGGGTTGTAGTACATGGGGGCCGGAAATTGCTGGTAGTACATGCCCCCCGGGGCCCCTCGGACATGGGACCATTGAGTACTCTGCATCTGAGCAGGAAGGGCTGAGGATACGGGAAACCCCCCCACCCCCCGATTCACCAGCTGGAAGGGGGAGAGGGGGGCCCAATGGTGGGAAAAAGTAATAAAGTTGAACAATACACTCCCACCACCTAACAACTTCCCTTCTACATGCTGTTCAATACATTATACGTTCGTAGATGTACACATTGGGGAATGTTTAAGGTGGACAGGACACTTCCTCTTCTCCATGCTTTAGGACCATCACAAGTTAGGATGGTTCACAGATTAGGCACCCTTTTTTAGTAATCCTAGTAATTGTGGAATTGTGCTAATTAAACGACACCTCACTAACCCCCCTTCCCTAACCCTCCGTCCTCCCTCCTTGTGGTAGACCCCGCCAGCTTTCGTCTCCCTCCCCCCCCTCCCCCTTACCCTCCTCTCCTCCCCCTCCTCTCCTTCCCTGCTACCCAGCATACCCTCCACACCCCTTCGTGGGACGTCTGTGGAAATCCGCGGGCCCTCCTCCCTCTCTCCCTCCCTCCCCCCTCCTCCTCTCCCTCCTCCTCCCTCTTCTCTTCCCTCCGCCATAATCGTGTACGGGATGGCTAGAGTAGCGTGGCGGTGGATTGAGCGATCCCTATCACCCGCCACCTTCCTCTGAGCACACAAAAAGAGAAACTTTTAACTAAAACGATGCACCACTTTTCAATCAGCAAGCGAACACGAGTGTTAACTATCCCGGTTTATATATATGATGCGGTTGTAATATGTTACAATATGGACAATACCATCCACATCCTGCAAAAGTGAGGCAGGCATCATAAGTGGGCAGCATAAGTAGTTGCTAGTATTGAGTTTACCGTGCATTAGCGAAAGCGAGAAACTCGGCAACCGTGCCAATGGAGCAAACCCATAGAGAGTAGTTTATATTTAGTCACTTCTCAACCCCAGGGTTATATTTAGTCACTTCTCAACCCCAGGGTTATATTTAGTCACTTCTCAACCCCAGGGTTATATTTAGACACTTCTCAACCCCAGGGTTATATTTAATCACTTCTCAACCCCAGTGAGTTCACCTGTATCCGTCGCGGTCGCAGTTCCTTATAGTATGAGTACAGTATAGTCGAGCCTCTCATGCTCTCTCTCCTTGTACCTGTCTCCCCTCTCCCCTCCCCGTCGTTCACCTTCTCCGCGCTCTCCTCTCTCTGTGTGTACCCGGTCTACTCACCGCTGCCCTCCCTCCTCGCCTCCTCCTCCGTCGCGGTAACGATCACGATCGCGAGGGTGTCCTCCGCGAGACGGGGGTGGCCGGGAGGACGGCGGAGGGTCGATGCTCAGCGGAACCCACTTATGTTTCCCGCTTCCTACGGACAGAAATTGTAATTCCAACGTCAAGTGGCCATTGTGTCTTAATTAATCTTGTCAAGTTTATACAATGTTGCATTCTTTTTTGTGTTTTAATTGTGCGCTTTAGAACACGCAAATGTATGAAACTGTAGCTATTTATACATTAATGTACAGCGGAAAAGTTTCACTTTTAAAGCCATTGGCAAAAGTTTTGCATGCAAAATTAGCGATCTGAACAAATTTTACATTTTAGGCTAGCAAACTAACTGCACAGCTTTCTCCCTCAGAAGGTGAACCGCACAGAGAAGTAGGTTTACATGATGGATGAAAAGTGTACATACCTTTTCTGCGGCTGGAGAGCTTTTGACTGTCACCATTAGCTTCGCCTTCACCGCCTTTCTCCTTCTCGACAGCTCCTCCTCCCCCTATCCCACATTTGCTCCACTTGCACCTTCCTCTCGCTCTCTCTCTCCACTCCTCACACAGCTATCGAGACCGCGCGTCGGCGCCGGCCGCCTCAGCGTAGCGTCGCGGGACAGCGGGCGACTTCCTCCCTCTCCCCTCTTCTCCTTCCCTGCCACCTTCCCTCCCTCCCCTTCTTCCCCTCCTCCGCCACTCTCTCCCCTCACAAGTGGCTTGTTCTCTTTCTCAGAGTCCTTTCTGGCCTTCTGCGCCACTTCCCCGAGCGCCGGCCAGCTACCCACAATCTCAGCCCCTTCAATCAGCTGAAACAACGAGAAATTGAAACGGAAAACAGATAAAACACTTGATCCAGACGCCCTGAAGCCAAAACAAACCCTAGCACACCAAAAATGGACAGATCACATGCCATTTTCCCTTCCCTAGTAATCAAGCCAATGTATGATTATAGAGCATACCGTTCATAATGAGAGACTTGTGGGCTTAATCAATTGAGACAATCAATGTGCATTCACCGCACGATTAGATCATAACTACCTAGCCAAAATAGGAAAAGTGCCAAAACCATAGGAAGTGTATACAGGTGATGGGGTAAGTACCGCTGCACAGATACTGACATATTATGACAATACCACATTGACAGGGCACAATAGGAGCTATATGCCCCTGACTATTGTCAGCATGTCATGTGACCCACGCCTTAGACTGGGAGCCACCAGAACTTGGCAGATCGGCGGCGTCTACATATTAGTACAATACGGATTCCCTTGGCTTATATAGACAAGGACGCGGGGCTGTTTGTGAGTGAGGTATGCAGACAATTACTAGTTTAGGCTTTGAGATACCCACACTGCACTATTTCAGCCAGATTTCACCTTCTGTGCTCATTTGCCCTTGAGGGACAGCGTGACAGAGCTAACTCCTCGAGGAATTTCGCTGCTACAGTGTCAATAATGGGGTTCCTGGTAGTACACTAGGAAGTTAGGTGGTAAATTCTCCAGCCACCCAGCCATACACCCTCCTCCCTGCTCAACCATGTAGTTAGGGCACCAATCAACGAATAAGACGATTCCATTGCCCAGCCCTTCAACCAACAACAATACCCACTTCAACTCCGGACCATACATACAGCTATTACCCCAGAGGCATTAGGCGTGTAGCATCCCTCATTGACTAACCTATTGCGTAATGATCATGTGACTGGTACACAGTATAAATAAGGCGTATGCAGCATACTGAACTAAGATTCAGTCAAAGTCACAGAGTTGAAAAGTGCAAGGGTTGAGAACACATGCACAAGGCTGGCTGCGGCACAGATACAATGGCATCCAACAAATTACATTAACAAACTCACCTCTCCTTTTGGTATCTCGATTCCCTTGCCCTCGTCGGTGACCTCTGACCCTACCAAAGCCACACCCCCTCCAGTCCCGCCCTCCCTTGTTCCCTCCTTCCCGCCTCCCTCACTCGGAGGGTTCCTCGTCCAGGGGTTCTTCTTGGGCGAGGGTCTCGCTCCTGCAAACACGTTTCTCGCCACATCTGACTTTTTCGGCGTCCCTGTCTTGTTCTTGCTCGGGCTGTCTGTTGTTTTATCGTCGTCTGTGTGAGAAGACCTAGAGTCAAGTGATTGAGATTTATCTGGTCTCTTTTCCGGCGTCTGAATATGGTCACCAGGTGACTTCTCTGTCGGAAGAGGGTCCTTTATGCCGGCTCCAACACCCATCATTACCTCCGTGCCGGCCATTGTTTTCCACCGTTACAAACACGAACTAAAACTGGCTAAGTATCGTCGTCTAGCGTACACAGATTTCAGACGGACTACTGGGCATTATCCGAAGGCGAGGTTCCAGAGTGGATCAACGTGGCGTCTTTTCCTCGTTCTGTAGAGGTCGCGGAGAGACGGAAGACGACCGGCACGGGACACGCGACGAGCGTTCCTAATTAGTGCTCCCTTGCACGATCCGTGCACCGGTTTTTCCGCGACCGCCCGCGATTAACCTGCGGAAAGGACGGATAAAAAATACACTGAGTGTTTCGCCTGCCTAACAGAGTCTGTTTGGTACACAGAAAACAAAGAAAAGCGACTGAATACTCACCCCGTAACATGCGAACTCAACTGTCGGGCGAGCGAGCACGCGGTCGGGCAAATGCGCACGCGCAAGACCGTTCGCGGACGTCACCTAGCAACGCGCAAGAATTACAGATAAAATGGCGGCATCTCGAAGGGTAGGATCACAGCAGTAGACAGACAGACTTTCTGTAGAACCGTAGCGCGCAAGAAATCACTCATCAGCTCCGGTCGCGACTGTCCGTGAGTGCACGTCTAGCGATGAGTCAGCAGCTGCGCTACATCGTGGAGCGGCTGAACGCCCCTCCCTTCTCCCGCCGCTACAACCTCGTCTCATTCGACTCCCTGGAGCCGCTGGCTCTGCTCCAAGTCCTGAACGATGTCTTAGCCGAGATCAGCCCAGAGCACAAGATGGACCTCCGGGAAGAACCGCCCGATCAGACGGCGCTGCGCATCTTTTCCCTCCTTCGGATCCTCAAGTACAGACCTAAAGCGGACGAGGGCGGCGGTCTGAACGCCTTCCGACACGGTCTCCTTGACGGCGAGAAAGCTACCATCTACCCTCTCCTGCAGTGGCTGTTAGAGAAAACCAGCGAACTCAAAAAGAGGGCGTATCTAGCCAAGTTTCTGGTGAAAATCGAAGTCCCGGCAGAGTTTTTGCAAGAGGAAGCGGCAATTGAAATGCACACGACCTACCAGGAGCTAGTGGAGCAGTTCAAAGAGCTCCATAAGACAGTAGAGCAACAAAGGTTTGATGCATAAACCTATGAGTTGTCTATCGTTGAAGCTCTGATATTGCATTAGGTCGTCGCAGTTCAACGTTGCTGACGTTCGTAAGGACATCAGCTCAATGGAGGAGGAGAAGGAGCTGTTGATGAAGAGAATTGAGCGTCTGAAGAGGAAAGCAGCAGCCATGCCCATGCAGACTGAGATGCTGGAAGCAGCCAAGAAACTGCGACAGGAAAAAGATAGGTGAAACATTAATTGCTCATGAGAAGAAAAATGCCTGCAGATGAGGTTTCAGTGTGTGTACATGCATGTACATGATGAAGAGATATACAGTTGTGTGAAAACCTGATAGTTACACCAGATCTTAAAAAGTCCCTCCAGTTTGCTATAGGCCATGTGTAAGCCTGGCTCTCAGAAATCATGTAAGACATGACGTTGCAGTGATTTATTATATTGAAATATATTGCGCAATGTCATAACGCATTTAGGGGCTCCAGGAAGATCTTGTGAACCAGGCTTTATTGTTGTGTGTTTCCTTACAGAGAGTTGTCACTGGGAGAGCAGCGTATAGAGCAGAAGAATCAGCTACTCCACGCCAAGCAGAGAGTGTCACGACTGCAGGATCAACTGGAGGAGACTCGGCAATCGGCTCAGGGGCTCACCCCACAGGGCCTCGTTACCAAACTGGGCGAGGAGAACCACGTCAAGTCGATCCTGGTCTGCGACACCCTCCCTCGCAGCATCGATGAGAAGAGGAGAGAGTGCATCGACCTGGAGAGGGTGGTGACTGAACCAATCACCAGCGACACTGATCTTGACGACCTCCGAGAACTAATCGAGCAGACCAAAGCTGAGCTTTCGGAGCTAATGGAGAAGCACATGCCAGGTAGCGATCCAGTCCAGGACAAACTGACCCTCTTTCGCCAGCAGGCAGCCATCATCTCTCGCAAGAAACAGGCCGAGGCCGAGAGCTATAAGGCAGCTCTGGACGAATTGGCAAGTGTTGAAGCAGAACTGAAGGAAAGAGAGGCGCAGATGAGTGCACAGATGAAGGGGCGGGGAGAAGTGGTGAGGGAGGAAGAGTTTAAGAGAATGGTGGGCAAACTTCGACCGATGCACAAGACCTACCAGAAGAAAAAGGGAGAGTTGTCTCTACTGAAAGCCGAGTCGGGTGTCCTGGCAAGGACTGAGGAGATTCTGAGGTCTCGCGATGAGAACGTGCAGGAACTAGTGGCTGTTCTAGAGGAGAAGAAAGGAGTGAGGGGCTACGTTCAGGCACAGGAGACTCTGGAGCAAGTTTCCGCCGCAAAGAGCGAACTGGACGAACGCAAAGAAGCCAAGTTGAGGGAAATGACGCAGACGATAGAAGAGTTGAACGAGGTCATCAGATCAAAGAAAGCATCACTTGCGCCACTCCTGAAAGAGATTCGTCCGCTCAGACAACAGCATAAGGATCTCCAGGCGCAGCACGCGGAAAAGAAAGTCACCTACGATGCCGTCTACATCGGATTGGAGGTCAAACGCTTGCAACTCGAGACAGAGGTGCGTCAACTCTGGGAGGAAAAGACGACGCACGAGAGCCAGTACCACTACCTACAGGCACTCAAACAGAGCGTCGAGCTCCAGCAGCAAAAGGTGGCTGCAGAGATGAAGAGCTACACGACGGCCGGAAAGACTGCAGCTTCGGGGGACAAATCCAGGAAATCTCTACGCGACCAGTACACCCGCAAGATCCTGGAGCAGGAGAATCTGGGTCGGGCACTGAGAGACAAACAGAAGGACGTCCGGGCAAATCACGAGCACAACCTGAGACAGGTGAAGATGTGGGGGGAGCTGCGGAGTCTTCTGGAAGCCAAGAGGGAGAGCTACAAGACACAGGCCAGGGAGAAGGCAGAGGAGAGAGCCGCCCAGCAAGCCATGATCGAGAACACCGACAGACTTGTCATTACCTGACACGTATCTTACGTCACCACACTAGGGCTCAAACAATTGTCTAATTCGGATAAAATACACGTGCTATAGTACAGACACAAAACACACACACAAGATAATATTATTGCCAGCAGACAAAAATGCACTAAAACTGGAGAACTGAGGACACCATACTGCCTTGATATCAATGTCTTCTTTCGAGTTTCTCAGACTTACTGATACGCAAGTAGTGCACCTGCAGCAGTAAGAGAGAAAAGTAGAGAACAACAGTATATCTGATGTTATTATAGTGGGGAAATTTTCCAAGGGAGAAATATCTCACAATTCAGTGGTAGAACTAATTAAATCACCATTGTTCCCACTCAATTGAAATTTTCCACTCTACAGTACTGAACATACTTTTCGTTTTTCTTTAAAGTTTCGTATGAAATCTTCCGCCTTCTGTGTTTTGTTCTCTAAAAAGTCTTCAGCCATTATCTGTTGTCATAGTGATAGAGAGACAAGAATGATCGACATTCCAGGGAGATGAGTAGGTGTGGCTTACCTCTGATTCAGTCTCCGCCTCCCGTGCAAGTGATTTGAGCCGTGAAGCAACACTTTTGTTCAGTTTTAAATATTTCTAATTGGGGAAAAGAGAAAACTCAACACACAAACTCTGCCACAGTAATTCTGAGTGAAACGTACATCCCTAATCTCCATCTGCTCTCTGGACTGCCTGTCGTACCTCTCCTTCTCTGCCATTAGCTCAAAACTCTGGGGAACAATTCACCACTGAAATGACCAGTTTGGGAAAATAACTAAGGCCTATATAGCTCTGCCTGGGGAGTATATTATAGAGCAAGATAACGTGGTAATATTTGTTCATTTTTGTTTTTTCACACTTCATTAATTCGGATTTTGGTCCAGACAAAACCACTAATAGAGTAGGTATGAATGCCTATTGTTGAGATAAACATTCCCCAAGTGGATGTGGGGTGCAGAGGTCAAAGACGTTGTGAAGGTAGTGGAAGAAATGTTGGAGTACGTAGACTTCTTTGGTGAACTAAAGCGAAACAGGCAGGACTACAGCTATGAAGGCCCTGTACAAATTTAGCCTTCAAAGCAGGCTATATATAGCAGAGCGTGACAAACGCAGCTAATTGTCTAACACACGAAAAACTTCTTGGAATGTGTACAAGAGATCTTACATACATGCCTTTAAAATATATACAGCCCACCCAATGTTACGTGGCAGCAAACAGAGGCTTGTGGAACTAACCTTTTCCTGTAGTCGTGTCCATCCACTCTGCAGCTCTGGCTCATGACCTAGGTTTATATCTGCAAACACACACACACACACACACACACACAGAGTCAGAGTATATATGTATGGCAGTTAGTGAGTGAGAGAGAGAGAGAGAGCTCACGAGCTTGATCTTCGTTCTCTTGAAAGAGCAAATCTCTATCGGCCTGTATCTTCTTTACCTGCACATTAGTTAAAGACACATGTAATTCTAGACTGTACATTAATGACATCAGGGATCACATGACTACACCGGCTACACACACACACTTACAATCTCATTAGAACTGACAGCACATACTACATACAAACACGTCCACCGCCCAAATTAATGGTAGTGGTATGGGTACAGGGTCATGTGACTATCACACTGGTGTCATGTGACTGGCGTGGAGACTCACCGCATCCATATTTCTGACGTAGTCCTCCACCAGGACTGACCCCTCCTTTTCATCCAGAAACTTCTCCAATTCCTCATTACTACACAAACACACACGTACAGTAGTACATGAACAACATACTGTATATATATGTACTGTAGTACATGAACAACATACTGTATATATATGTACTGTAGTACATGAACAACATACTGTATACATATGTACTGTAGTACATTAAGTACACACATTATCCTACACTTGCCTCATTTCTGAGACGGTAGGAAACTCGGTAGGGACAGGTGGCGGTGTGTATCCGCGTCTCTCCACTCGAGGCTACAGGTGTCCACAAAAAACTCACATACATATGTAACAACAAATGGAAGCACAGTTCACAGAACTTATGCACAATTATTGATTCAGTGCATACACGTAAGGTTCTGTTTTCACTTGAAAAACTTACACACCGACGTACATACTACGGTTTTGTAAATCTAAGGCCCCCTCGTGAGTGTGACAGTGGGCTTACAGGAGGTGGAGCTTTTCTCTTTGGTTTGGGAGAGGAGCGAGGGGAGCGAGGTTTCTGGGCAGGAGGTTGAGGTTGAGGTTGTTGAGGAAGGGGCTGGGGCTGTGATGAGAACTGGTAGTACGGCTGGTAGCTTCCACTGGAGATAGGAGAGAAAGAGAGAAGGAGGGGAGGGTTAGAACAAAGAAAGAGAGGGTAAGAGAAGGGAGAAGAGGGAAAGAAAGAGTAGAAATGGAGAGAAGGCATAAAGTGAGGAGAGAGGGGGAGAGTAAAGGAGAGAAATAATAAGGGGTGAGAAGTTAAGGGATGAGATATGGGTCTTACATTGGAGGCCGCTGGTGGAAGGATGGGAGGACAGACTGCGAGTGTGGGGAAGTCATGGCTTGTGGTGAGGTGGGGGGAGTGGGAGGGGTGACGTGGGAAGTGAGAGGAGACGAGTTTGGGACGAGGACGCTGTTCTCGTTGAGTTCCTGTATCACCTCGCTGACAATCTCCCCAAGGTTGGACTGGACTGAGAACTGTGCAACAGAGAATTATTTTCTCTCTCACTCCTCCATTTTCAGTAATGTAGCTTATATAATGCAGGGTTTCAGCTAAAGTATGTATCTTCCTTGCCAAAACCTTGTAAAAACCCACACCAGCTCATAATGGATGCCAGGTTGTGTAATACTAGCCGTGGAGCCTTACATTTCTGAGAGCGGGGCAGTCAGAAAGGCTGTGGTCTCTGACCCAAGGATGTTGGAGCCTTCGAGAGAGCTTTATCTCTGGAGCTGTCAGTGGGAACTGAGGAGGCAGGACTCTGCCAATGGAAACACAACACTCGTAATGTGTCAGTCTGAGCTAAGGATTTGGGCTCAGTCACTCACATGTCGAGTTGAAGTGGCTCTCCCTTTACACTAATGTCCACCCTGTAGTGTTGGTCTCTCTGTATCTCTCTGACACTGGAAGGAAGAACATGTAAGGAAACGTCGTGTTTAGATAGACAATTTACCACGGGGCAGCGGTTCTGAGCCCCTCAATCTGCTGGTTCCTGTGCTTCTCGGCGTCTGTCGGTCCCGCTAGCCCAGTCTCCGTTCTATTACCTCCGGTAAAGTAGCCATACAGCCATGATGACATACTACTCTTTCTGGCGCTGACTCAGCACTTAAGTATTTGTGTAATTTTGAGCCGCGACCACTATTTCTTTAAATTAGAACAGCAGATCTGGTGAGCATTATTTAGAAATTGCCCTGGTTTGCGGCGATGATGTCCAGATGAGCGGATCTGGTGGATCGGAGAGAGTGCTCTCGCGAGACGAATTCATGCAGATGGCAGCAGCTTCCACGGCGGCCAAAGCCAAGCGCGGTCGCCGTAGCGAACCGGTCGTTCCTCCGCCGAGCGAGCGCTGGGAGCGACGCCACCGTGCACAGAGCTTCATCCAGGGCAAGGAGCTGGACGAGCTGGAGGTGGAGGTGGAGACTGGGCTCTACGAGAACGTGGACCTCTCCTACGGAAGCAGGATGCCCGTACTACTCGCACACATTTGCTTCAGTGAGCGGCATACGCTGGTATTTCCATGTGCCCGTGCTATATCGTGCAAAATCCAGTCTTTTGCAAGCTGATATAATATACATCCAGACACTCAGTGCGGTACTACTATACTTTTGCACTGGGTCAAATATTGGAGGTTTTGTATGTGATTTAGCTACTAGAGCACTTTCCCACTGCTTTACTTCCCCTGCAGGTTTCCTCTGGTGGAGTGTGTTTGATGCTCTGCTGCCCATGCTGTGGTTCTTCCCGCTCTGTGCACTCCAGGTCAGCGGCTACGAACCCATCTTCCTCCTCTGCTTCTCCCCCATTCTCGCACTTTGGACTCCGATACGACAGGCCCTGGCCACACCCCCTGCACTTCTAGTTCTACGACTGCTCACTCTGGTGGGCGTGGCTTCGTACCAGAGCCCCAATGCCATCACTCGTCTAGCTGTTCTTGCCGTCGGGAATTTCTTTGCACTCCTGGCATTTGTCAGTATGTGGTGGAACCGCTCAAAACTAGACAGGTGAGGTGGATTTTTTTTTCGCCTGGTCCACTTCGATTGATTCCAATCTACAGTCATAGTTGTAGTATAGTTGTTGTTTTTTCCTCCAAAGTTCTTTCTGAAATTGCAAAACTAAGAGACACGCGCCTGCCAAATTGAGTTATGGCTTTTTTCGGGGTAAAATGCTGAGATGTGGGAATTTGCATATTAACTGGTTTGGCTGCTTTCCCAAAGTCCTAATGTAAGTTGAGTGCGGGGGGTCGGTATATCTCCTACATTGATTGTTGTTTTCATATCTCCCAACTCCCCCACACATGTGCTGTATATACTTGTAAGAGTTGTATCAATGCCATATGGCAGTTCTGTGTCTTAACAAACCTGGACGTACGTTTTCTGTTGTCACATTACCATCTATTCCTCCCTTACTACAGAGACCGCGCAATACATACTCACATTCTCGGGTTTTTTCTCATGCTCGCCGTCCGAGTATGGTTCTCATCTTTTAACCCCATCTTCACCAACCTTCTCTACAACAACGTGGCAACCGGAGTGGGCGTGGTTTTATCTCTCTACCTCTTCCTCCAAGATTGGAGAACCCCCATAATAACGAGTACCGACCTACCCTCGGGGAAGATTCATCGGAACAAGGAGAGCGATAAGTACCCGGGTTTGTTGGCCACGGGGCTGGGATTTGGAGCTCTGATGTTTCTGACTCTCATGATGTTTGGAGATGTCTCTATCGTGCCGAGATGGGCCGTGGCTCCTTACCCAAACCGAGGACCCGATCCTAACCCATGGAGGTAGGCACCTTGTGTTTTCTGTCCGCTCCCTTGCAGTTAAGTTGTTCATGTACCCTCTCTCTGAATACCAGCTAAGTGGCATAACTTGTTCATGCTCCTTACTGTATTGACTCTTTTGTGTAAATCGTATGGTATTAACTATAGGAATAGGTTTTCTATAGCATATGCCACGAATCCCGTAAGCTTTTCTTCTCTCTCTCTCTCCAGTTTCCTGGTGATGCTAGGGCTGGTTCTGGGAGTGGTACTGATGAGTCATCGTTCAGATAAACTCGGCGGACTTACCTGGCACGCCATTGGCCTAGCCAGCGGTCTCGGTCTCTACTACCTCCAGTCTTACTTTGCCTTCTTCGAGGGCTGTCTCCTCTCCATCTACACCGCCTCTCTCTGGCCACATCTCTCTAAGAGACTAGTTCATTATCCTCCGGGAAAGGTTTTGTCACTGGCGATCCTTACGTGGGTGCTATTGTGTATCACATCCGTGTGGATAGTGGCGTATAACTTTGTTCCCGGAGGAACTGTGACGAGGGAGAGAACGGATGTGCTTATAGCGGTGATGGTGTTTCTCGTTGCTTTGGCTTCGAGGGATTGTGAGATGGGGGAGGAGGGGAGGAGGGAGGAGAAGGGTGGAGTGAGGGAAGGGGGAGAGGGGGAGAAAGTTGGCGGTGGAGGAAAAGAGAGGGAGGGGCTGAGACAGAGAGTTGTTGGCAAGCTCCCTCCAATCTCCGAGGAAGAGGAGGAAGAGGAAGAAGGGATGGATTTCGAAGTAGACTCTACCGGTTCCTCAGTTCACGAAGAGAGAGCTCTGGAACTGCTGGCGACTGAGGAGAAAGAGTGTCTCAGATTCAGACACAGAGCCAACAGAGGTATTATACACTTGTACTGATTAGCCCTACTCTGCTGGTACCTTTCCCTTGGCATCATAATTATGTATTTAAAAGCTGGGTGTAGTTGACTTGTTGCCTTTGCCTTTGTTGATGTTTGCATGTACAGTTTTCATGTGCAAATGTACTAAAATTTCTGTTGCTTTTAACGAATATTGGTTCTGTTGCAGTTGCGATTGGTATACTGCTGTTAGCTCTGCTGGGATTTGCCTATCGCTACCACCCAATCTCACCCACCAGACAAACAGTAAGACTGTCAGACCCCTCTCCCTCTATAACGGCCATTGATTGCAGGAGCACCCCACAATGTTCAGTGCCGGTATATGGGCCTTTCATTTTGGCTATGACAACGACGCCAAACCCAGCATGGAGAGAGCTGCACAGTTCATCAATAACTCAGGTAACCCTTTCTAGACACCATACCATACTCCTGTATTATCTATTATTATTGTGACAACAACCATTAGTTGCATGTCCCCATTAGTTACTCTATTGGCCTTTGAATAGAGCTGCAACAGTGTGTTGCAAGTGCCCTGTTTGTGTGATCACATGACTTCCCTGTGATTGTCACATGACCCCAGGAGTTGATGTGATTGGTCTAATGGAGACGGATGCAGCTCGCCCATACATTGGTAACCATGACCTGGGCAGCTGGCTCTCTGAGAGACTGGATGTGTACGTTGACTATGGCCCTGGAACAGACACACACACATGGGGGTAAGTAGAACCAACTCCTATTCGTTTATATCCTGATTTTGATGCTCATTGTCTGATTTTTCTTAACTATAGGGCCATGGTGCTTTCGAAGTTTCCTATTGTCAGATCAGAGCACCATCTACTGCCCTCGCCTCATGGTAATTACGACGATGTCATTGATTGATGAGATGACGTAATTGCTATTGTCTATCGTCACAGGTGAGGTGGCACCTGGTCTAGTAGTGACGGTGAACGTGTCGGGCACTCTGGTGGACTTTTTCTGTGTCCACTTTGGAAATGATGAGTGAGTCCATCATCACAGAAACACCTCACACCCACTCCCCCCTTCCTCCATTCCACGTGGCCCCGCAGAGACGAGCTGGACAGGAAACTGCAGGCAGACTACACAGCAGAGGTGTTGGCGACCGCCCGGAATCCTGTGGTGCTCATCTCCTACCTCACCAATAAGCCTCATGGAGATGGCTACAAGACCATCACTGGTAGAGGAATGGTGAAGGTAAAGAAGCCCACACACGTCTGTTTGTCTACTAAATAGGCATTTAGTTCTCTCTCATGCTTTGTATTGTGTTGTATGGTGTCCTTGTGGTTCTGAGTGTCATGGGTTCGAATCCCACCTAGAGCAGCTCTTTTTTCCTTTAGTTGTCCTGGGTATAAGTTGTGTTGCTTGCCTTTTCTCTGCTCTCACCTCTTTGTTGACATGTGCATTTAGTCAACGCACGCAAACACAGTTGGAAAAGCGGCTGGGCACTCAATATGAATGTGTTAGGAAGCGTTGCTTGCGTTCATATGGCACACCATATTACCTCACAGGATATTGATTCAACGGATCGGAAGAGGTGGTGTGAATACATCATGTACAGAGGTCTCATCAAGTAAGCACATCCACATCTTCTGTTCAACTCCACGTCCAGTGGAGCAGTGTACGACACATTGATGTTTTGTATTTCAACTTGATGTGTTCACATAATTATGTAGATACTACGTCAAGGGAATTGTAAAATTAAGTTTTGGGCCTTAACCTGTGGGTTTTGAGCATGGCGAAGAGCCCTCTAAACCCTACAAACAGACTTGTTTCGTCCCCCCCCCCCTTTACCTGAATACTGTTCAACTAGGTTGGGATATGCGAGGATATCCCACGGAGGACTCACAGACACTGAGCTACAGGTGGGGAAGTTCAGACTACCAGAGTATAGCGGAGAACCAGACAACGACAAACTCACATACAGCCCCGAGGATGTCCCTACATGGACTCACTTCCCGGCCTTGTAAGACACCTACCTTACACGCCTGAAAACCTTCGAGGAAGATATTTTGGGGAGAGCTTTAGACCCATTCACACAAGTTTTCTCTTTGATTTTTTTGGGGTGCGGGGTCACGGATAGTTCTTGTTGCACTTTTGGAGAACTGAATTTTAGTTTTGGTATGAGATGCTAACATTGACGTATGCTGTAAGGAAGTTGTACAATGCAGGTTTGGTGGACGCTACCGGAGTCATTATGGCAATGAAAGTGAACACCATTACCACATGGACACTCCAAAGTATTTCACCCCATCCTAATGTAATTCATCATGCATTTACTGCCGACTGACAAATCATCAACAGGCACATGTATATGCTTGCTCTCTATTTTGTTGTTTTGAGGACGTCTCACGTGTTTGTGCGTGCGCGTACGTGATCACGTGCGCGAGACCTCTGCGCATGCGTACACGTATAAGAGACGGGAAAATGGCGACATCTTGTGCTCAGGGCCTGACTGCAAGTGAAGCCCTAGCCTTTGTTGTACCGGCTGCTAAGGACCAGCCTCCCTTTCCCGAGAAGGAATTCAATTTCGAGGAGCGACCCTCGCAGGATTTCTTCTGCCCCGTCTCCTTGGAGCTGCTCCTGGAACCCCAGCAGACGTCATGTTGTGGCAACCATCTCTCCCTGGAGGTGGCCACCAGACTGCGGAGAGAGGCCGGAAAGGCTTGTCCCGTGTGTAACGGTGAGCAGTGGAGCGCCATGCCAGACAAGTACCACCGTCGAAAAGTTCACGAGATTCGCGTGCGTTGCTGGAACAAGGACAGTGGGTGTGGGTGGGTGGGGGAAGTGAGCGAGTTGAAACGACACGCAGTCTCGTGCGACAAGCGGCCGTGGGAATGCCAGTATTGTGGGCTCAAGTGTACCGTTGGGGAGGGAGAGGGAAACCATTGGCCTGACTGCCACAAGTTCCCCGAGCCTTGTCCAAATGGTTGTGAGGTGGGCAGTGTGGAGCGGTGTGGGATGGAACAACATCTCAGTGTGTGTCCACTGGAGCCCGTGGCCTGCGAGATGAAGGAGTTTGGGTGTAGTGTCGTGGTCCCTCGCAGGGAGCTGGCGACACACATGAGAGAGAGTGAGCTCCAACACCTGACGGCCATGACTGCTCTCAACCTCCGTATCACCAGACAACTGCAGCAGGACTCCGCCGAAAGAGACAGGGAGATAAAAGTTCTTCAGCGACAAGTAGCAACACTCAACCAGAGTGTGGAGGAAATGAAAACAAGAGAGCTAACTAAGATACAGGACGGCATATTGAAACTGAAGGGCTCCGTACACCATGTGGAACAACACACAACAGGAACATGTTTCGGGGGAATAGTGTTTGAAGTTGAAAATTACAACCAACACAAAGATAAATCTAAAGATCTCAATTCTCGAGTAGAATGCTCGAGTGATACTTTTTACTCCCACCAAAATGGCTACACCTTTCAACTTGTGGTTCAATTCTACGAGCAAAACTACAATGACATTGGGGTATTTCTCAAGTCAACAACAGGAGGAAATGACGAAGAACTCTTGTGGCCAGTGTCTGTGAGTGCCACACTAGAGCTACTCAACCAGGCTGGAGATCACCATCATGAAGTAAGAAAAGAGACCTTAATGTATGAAATTTATGAGACGCTGCCGATTGATGATGGTCTAATAAGCTATCCTGACCTAGAGGAGCAAAGTGACAGTGTACAGTATGTGATGAATGATTGCATCAAATTCAGGATACATGTGTTAATTGTATAGCTATTACAAGATAATTGATATCGGGTTAATGAAGTACACTGACCTAAAAAAATGGTGTTCAGTACGTGTTGAATGACTGCCTCAAATTCAGAGTACATATTTCTGTTCTGTCATAGTGATTCTTTGTATTCCTAGTTGTTGAGATTTGTATATAAGAGTGGATTGTAAATTAAGACAAATAAATGTGGAGTCTGTGTTTGTCTGTCTCTGTCTCACAATCTCCTGTACTGCCATCAGCACTTTCTCACTCTCAAACAATCCTCTGATACCTCTGTGTGAGTGTTCAAAAACAACTATATATAGGGTTTTAAGTTAATAGTGCAACACAACAACCTCATGCTTCTTCACTCCTCAAACTTGTTAATGGTAGCACACATGGAGATGAAACTTTGTACGCATGCGTATTACATCGTTTACACATTTATATATAGGTCCATTTTAGCCCAACAATAATACTAGTTCAAGAATTGCAAGGTTAGGTTTGTCTGCTACAGTCTAAAGTTACACATTGTGCACTGGGAAAACTTCACAAACGTAACAGTTTAATGTCTGCTTACCCTATTTGGGTGACTGGAAATGAATGGTACGAGTAAAACCTACTCGTACCATGGTAGCTTCTATGGAACTACTAAGGATATGCGAGGATATCTCACGGAGGACTCACAGACACGGAGCTACAAGTGGGGAAGTTCAGACTACCAGAGTATAGCGGAGAACCAGACAACGAGAAGCTCACATACAGCCCCGAGGATGTCCCTACATGGACTCACTTCCCTGCCTTGTAAGACACCTACCTTACACACCTGAAAACCTTCGAGGAAGATATTTTGGGGAGAGCTTTAGACCCATTCACATAAGTTTTTTCTTTGATTTTTTTGGGGTGCGGGGTCACGGATAGTTCTTGTTGCACATTTGGAGAACTGAATTTTAGTTTATGTATGAGATGCTTACATTGATGTATGCTGGTGTAAGTAAGTTGTACAATGCAGGTTTGGTGGACGCTACCGGAGTCATTATGGCAATGAAAGTGAACACCACTACCACATGGACACCCCAAAGTATTTCACCCCATCCTAATGTAGTTTTGGCACCACTCTAATTCATCATGCATTTACTGCCGACTGACAAATCATCAACAGGCCACGTATACTTGCTTGTTGTTTTGAGGACGTACGTCACGTACGTAATAATGCGCGCGCGTAAGTGATCACGTGCGCGAGACGCATCACACGAGATCGAGAGAGATCGGCGCGGAGACGAGACTAGACGGGGGAAAATGGGCATGGCGCTGACGACCGTCCTAGTACCGGACCAGCTTCCCTTTCCCGAGAAAGAATTCGATTTCGAGGAGCGACCCTCGCAGGATTTCTTCTGCCCCGTCTCCTTGGAGCTGCTCCTGGAACCCCAGCAGACGTCATGCTGTGGCAACCATCTCTCGCTGGAGGTGGCCACCAGACTGCGGAGAGAGGCCGGAAAGGCTTGTCCCGTGTGTAACGGTGAGCAGTGGAGCGCCATGCCAGACAAGTACCACCGTCGAAAAGTTCACGAGATTCGCGTGCGTTGCTGGAACAAGGACAGTGGGTGTGGGTGGGTGGGGGAAGTGAACGAGTTGAAACGACACGCAGTATCGTGCGACAAGCGGCCGTGGGAGTGCGAGTATTGTGGGCTCAAGTGTACCGTTGGGGAGGGAGAAGGAAAGCATTGGCCTCACTGCCACAAGTTCCCCGAGCCTTGTCCAAATGGTTGTGAGGTGGGCAGTGTGGAGCGGTGTGGGATGGAACAACATCTCAGTGTGTGTCCACTGGAGCACGTGGCCTGCGAGATGAAGGAGTTTGGGTGTAGTGTCGTGGTCCCGCGCAGGGAGCTGGCGACACACATGAGAGAGAGTGAGCTCCAACACCTGACGGCCATGACTGCTCTCAACCTCCGTCTCACCAGACAACTCCAGCAGGAGTCTGCCGAAAGAGACAGGAAAATGGAACGACTACAGCTAGAAGTGAAAGAACTGAACACTAATGAGGTGAAATCAAGCTTTCAGGTGAAGGAACTTACTCAAGAAGTAGCAAAGATGAGCTGCTGCCTTAACAAAGTGCAGCAAGTGAGCTTACATGTTGAGCAACACACAGCAGCAATGTGTTCAGGGAAAATAATTTTTACAGTTGACGATTACAGAAAGAGCAAAAGTCGTGCCAACGATGAGCTGTCCTGTGTATACTGGTGCAGTGATAAATGTTATACCCGCCACAATGACTACGCTTTTCGGCTGGTAATTATATTTTATGAGCAAACGTACAGTGATATTGGAGCATTCCTCCAGTTTTTGGAGGTAGACGAACTTCAGACAGTAACATTTGAAGTGACCCTGGAGCTTCTCAACCAGGCTGGAGACCATCATCATTTGACAAGACAGATGACATTGTATTTAAATGTAAAAAAAGAGATTGATCATGAGCATGAAATAGACGAGAACCTAATAGGCTACACTGACCTGGAGAAGACGGGAGAGGTGCAGTACATGATGAATGACTGTCTCAAGTTCCGGATAAATGTTACTAAAAGTAACTTTTTGACAGAAGTATTCTGACCTAGAAAGAAAAAAGATGGATGATGAATGATTGCTGAATACATGTGTCTGTTGTGTCACAGTGAATTTTTGTATTGTACTTTATAGTTTTTGAGATTTGTAAGAGTTGATTGTAAATTGAGACATATAAATGCGGAGTCTGTGTTGTCTCCTGTACTGCCACCAGCACTCTCTCACTCTCAAACAACCATCTGATACCTCTGTCGGTGTGGGAAAATGCAACCTGTCACAGCTAGTAGATAACCATAATCATTACCTGATCTTTGAGAGTCTCTGCAGAATGATGCTCATCTTCTCAAGGGTGGGAGTGTCCGAGGTCTCTCTCAGGAGAGAGGCACAGGCTGAGAACCACTGCCTTGTCCCCAGTCTCCCCTCACACTGACACATCACACCTGGGGCCAGGGGGAGTATATAGATCAGCTTCGAACGCAAAGAGAACAGTAAGAAAATCATGTTACATACAACGACGTCTTTCCAGCCTTTTTGAGGGTCCATTTTTGCAGCTCGGTAGCTAGCTGACAGAAAACACTTTTTGTGAATGACTATAAAGTTACCCGAAGGATGTGTGTATTATATAACTTCCTCTATTGTTTTTCATAGCTAGGTAGAGAAGTAGTCAAATTGGCTATAATAATAATATGTGTAACGGACTCCATGGATAGAAGGAGGTATATATCAGAGCGTCGGTAGACGCTCTCTCTCTATATATATAGGGATGACGCGGGTGAAATCTCACGTGATCCGCGTACAAAACGCCTCAAAACT